GCGTGAGATGAAGTAATTTTGTATGGAATCACTATGTATTATTGGTTCTAACAAGACCACCAAAATCATTGCTCCTTTATAAGATTTTCAATGGTTACAGAGATATAGACTATAGTTGTATAATATATTCAAGTAAATTACTGAATATAGTTCTTTAAAAAATAATTATATAGTTGTGCACTGAAAATAAACATAATATTACTAGCGGTGTACACTTTGAATCTCAAAGGGTTAATCACATGTTACGATGATAACAGTTCAATTAGTTGTACAAAAAATGTACAAATTCTTATACTGTGGCATTGACAATACAAGATTAACGATTTTAATAAATATATATTTTGTAATATTCCAATAAGTAGAAAAATTGTATCTCTGATGTTTCGTGATTTATTGTAAGCCACTTCTTCAAAAAATATATTTATTGTTAACTCTCTGCATAATGCTCAAATTACTTGAAGTTGACCTTGATATTGATAACAATAAACTCATTATTAATCGGATTAGCACTTTTGTTTGGATTAAACTCAAATTTCGATGCAAGTTTATGTATTACATCATGAAATATTAATTAATCTGGCTACTGTCTTTCTTATTCAGCAAGCAACTTTGAAAGTGCTTCAGACACAGATTCACTACTATCTTTGTAACTAACACACTAACAAGATAAATCACTGATTGTTTCAATATCAAGGCTTTTCGTTGACACATGAATCTAATAAATTTGTTGCTGAAAGATTATCCTATATTACTTCACCTTGGGTTGGACTAGATATTATTCAAACGCAGATATTGTGATGTGTGCTACTTATATTAACATAAGTAGTATATGATGTTAGTTGTGAACGGAAAGTCTGGAACCAGAGAGACAAGAGGATCGAACAGTAAAGAATGGAAAGGGAATGCAATTTGTACGAAAATAAAAGAGCAATGAATTCTGAGTCATTTTGAGACGATCGATGGACATTTTGCAAATTAAGCATTTACTTTATGATTGTTAGATTTTATTAACATGCCCTGTAATTTTGTGTTAAATACATTAGATTGTCCCCACTGGTGTTCTTGTTCACTATAATATTATCATACAATGAAACATCGAATCGATAATAAACCTAAGTTCATCTTTTTAAATGAATTGTATGAACGAAAGAATGCTAACTATAATTTTGTCAGCTCTAAACATTTATCCACTGTTGGAGTTCAAAATAAATTAGGAATATGCTTCAATAATGCCTTTTTAAATAGATGATTGTATCTAAACGGTAATATTCAAATTACCTAAGTTATAAATTGAAGTAGTTGGTAGTTACGTATTTTTAATGTGTACCGATATATCTTTGTTGTATAGATGAAGGAAACACCTTCATATAATCCAAATAACAAACTACTCGTCTTAAAAACTAACTCCAAGATATAAGCTTTATGTTCCGTAGATCATCGTGTGTTTCATTGAAAATGTAAACTGAAACACTTACTGAATAAAGTGTTTAAACTGTAATACATCAGAAACTAGAAAATATTGAACATAATTGTTCAATTTGAATTATTTTAAGGATTGTCATCAGAAACATCCATGACGAAAACCTATCTCAATTCAATAAACTTTCAAAGTCAATGGTACTATAATCCTTGAAACTCAATTTCAATTTCATTTAAATAAAATGTGCTGTAAGCTGTTTTCATTCATGAAAACTGTTATCAATATCTAGTTAGTCTGTTTACGATAGTGGCTTGGTTTTGAACTAATCACTAAAAGGATTCAGTGCAGTTTAATAGTAATATTACACTTACTGCAATATATAGTGTGCATTGCATATTGTTTAGCTACAAAAATAATAAAATTCTTTAAGCTGGTTTATATCATGAACCGACTTTGGCTAAACAATCATTAAAAGATATAAAGTTTATAAAATCTGTTTCACCCTACCGTAGAATTTCTTAGTACTGCAACCTCAAACCCAACCATTTATCAAGCTATTCTAATGCTTATAATTGTAGAAAGATATAAGTAGAAACCTGAACCTCATATTTTGTTTATAGTCAGTGTTCATTAATTTAATTCGCTTTAATTTAAATAATAAGAAATATATTATTTTCTGACTTCTTTTATATATAATTGTTGAAATAAAGTGACAATCATGCAATTTGATTTAATCTCATATCTACTTTAATCTAATGAAGAAAATACTATATCAGATTACACTTCTCAAATTTTCTGAATGTTACCTGTTTCTGAGGAAACGCCCTTAAATTCACTTTTCTCATTAAATTCCAAAGTGTTAAAAGATTTCGATTTCATGATTATTTATTTTCTTTGTTGTATCACTTTAGTAATAATTGCGTTTTTCGTAATCATGATAATTACATATTCTAGTCAAACTTACACTACTTTACACTTATATGACTTATCGGTTATTATAAATAGAAATATTGTCTGGATTGTAGTGTCCAATGTAAGTGTAAGAAATGTCTTTCACTTAACCAATTTGGGAAAGTTCATATCTAACTAACTCCGTCAACAGATAATTTTAATTGTTAGTAAGGGGTTATATAGATTGGTGAGTTTCATTTAGACCATCAACCAATCTAAGGTAGACCACCACTGAAAACCGAGAAGCACTGGACGGCTGTTTCCACCTAGTATTGGGCTCCATAGTAGTAAGTATCAGCAACCCCATATCTGATAATGCAACCGCCGATCATTGGTCTCGTGACCAGTGAAGCTGAACCGGGTCAGGTTTGAGATAGTTACCCACCGAATACGATGAAAATGCTTGAACAATGTGGTGAATTCATTAAAGTTATACTCTGGGAACGTTCAATGCCGACTCAGCGCTCTTCAGGCTAAGCGTTAGTGTGCGATTCCGAAGGTTCTGAGTTTGGTTTCCTCATCTGGGTCGTGGGTGCGCACTGACTAGGACGGAACAGTCGTTTAGTGCCTCTAGGTTTTATAGTATTGATCCATCTTAAATCGGTTCATGATCTCAATGAAGTTATTTTAAGCAGATAACAGTATATACCCCCACAGCCACAGACATCTCCGAAGGAATAATTAAATGACGGTTATTAAGTCATTTTCTGTCCACTAATATTAGGAATAACGAAACAAAATCCTTACATTTTATTATGTACTATGCTTTAAATGATACGAAGAACGTTACTGAATAGACTTCGACATTAAAAAGCAATTTAGGTACTAAGTGGACAGAATTTACAAAACAGGTAAAGAATTTGATGCACTGAAATACTGTTCCAATAAAGCAAAATTCTACAGTTGGCATCGTGAAATTCTTTATTGAGTGTAAAACTCAGATCAGATATTATACTAATCTGTGGCTGTTCCATAATAAATAAGCTGTGATAATAACTTTTAAAACACTAAAAACAAAGTGCAAATTAATTTTCGTTGTATCGTATTAGGGCTTTATTCAATGAAGCATACAAATTCTAATCATACTGATACAAGAAATGTGTTTTCCAGTTGATCTGTATTCAACTCATATACTCAAAACATCCCATGAAGTCATGTTTCAAAAGTAAGCCAAAATGATAGCAAAATCATACATACTGTGTCCAACTGATAGTCTGGTTGTTATATTAAAGTAAGCAAACAGAAATTATCTTAATAATATCGACATTAAACTTAAGAGTTTTTAAGTAGTCTGAACAATGCATCAACTTTTATTTGTATTTAACAAGGAAATTTACTTTTGTCACTTGTGTGCATGCAAAAAGTTAGAAATTTTATCCCTGTAATTATAAATACAAGTACACTTATATACTAGAAATATGAGAGGTCATATTTGTTAGCAAGACATTTGTTAAGTACCTATTAATCTTAAAACACTCCAAGATAGGGACAAATATATTTATTTGTTTCATAATTATGACATCTGATTCTCAGTATTACTGATTGTTCAATTAACAGAAGACAAAATCTAGTAAATTTCAGCAGGCGGTTAAGAATCGGTTGAATGAACAAAATACTTAACCAGTGTGGTTATAATTATGCATTTGAAAAGTATTGACCATCATATAATTTGTAAATCATAAAATATCTCATTTAAGGATAGAGATTAACTCTTGAAATGATAATTGTTGTAACGCCTCCAACACATGAATTTATATCAATAAATAAAACTGAACGAGGAATTAGTCAATCCTTATGTTTTACCATAACCTATTGTTAGACTTTATCTGTATCACTGAATATAATGACTAAAAGATACCATTAATAAACCGCAGATTAGAATTATTGGCTTTCTGTTTTTCCAAGATCCTGATTTTATTTTCTATACAATTACCTCAATGAATTATATGACGGCTGATATTGGGATGATTGTGACATTTTGTATTTACTCGCTACGAAAACTTTTGAGGGTATGACCACGAATATTTTTTTTAAAAGGCAGTAATTGGTTTAAACGCTATTAAAATATATAATTAATATGTCAAGTTCCACTCTTTATTTTGCCCAAATATATAAAAATATAACACTCTGAGAAATAAATTATCAATTGCTGTAACACAACGTTCTAACTTGAATCTAAACTAGTAATAGAAGGATTATTAGTTCTCATTATTATTAAAAATGTAATCAATGTACAAATAATTGATTTTGATATCCATTTCGAAATAGTAATAACTGATTATATTGTCAGGTCACAGGTTTAAGAAGTTCAAAGGGAAAAAAAAGCAAGGTTGTTCATTAATGCGAGGGCAAGCGGGAATAATCACTTTAAATCATAGTTGTTTAAATGTGTTCTTTATTTAATATTCATTTTTAGTCTTGACTTTATTGTAATTAAATATATCAGATTAATTATTTTACTAAGAAAAACCTATTACCTTTGACAATAAAAAAAGGTTAAAGACGTAAACAACAGGTTTTGAAAAGAATTACAAAACTCCAATTGTTTCCTAATTATTTCGGAATTGATTTTTACATAATATTACATGTAGTAAAATATGCTTATACCTTTTCATTTATTGATTGACAGATTATAAATTTTAATTGCAACGGTCAACATGAAACAAAACCTAACATTTGCTACTCTTTGGCCAGATGATAATGATTTCATGTCAATCGTTCATCCACATTGGCATAAATTTACTCAACCTGATCCATTGTATTACTATCTAGTAGGAATTTATATTGGTATTGTTGGTATATTAGCAGTAATTGGAAATTCTTTGGTAATTACATTATTTCTTTTGTAAGTTTTTGTTCAAAATGTTTGTATTTCGTGTGTCAACCGATAAATCCACATATAAAAACAATAAAAATTTCGTAGAAAATAGATTTAAATAATTGAGAAATGGGTCGTTTTTTTCAATATGGTTATTAAATTGGGGAATATTGATTCTGGTGAATTCAGTGAAATGTTTTTTCTATGTTTAAACCTTACATTGAAAAGTTAGAAGGATGAAAGTAATTTCTTACATTACCTGACGTAAAACTTCCATATTTTGTGTCATATAGAAGTACTGCATACAATGAAACTGTGACTAACTTTATTCATTTAGTCTGTGTTAAAACCTTCCAGGTCGGCATGATACCGTCCGTTTGCGATGTCTATTTATTTATAAGCATATACTGCTATAAGATTTTTTTAAGTTATAAATAAAAATTTTCTTCCCTTTCTTTGGTTTGGTATTTAATTGGTTGAAAGGCAGCTTTCGAATAAACTAAGTAAAAGTCTCTTTCACAAACTAATCTACAGGAATACTATTTATCAAAACCTGAAAGTCAAGACTGATTGATGTGTCATAAGGTAGTGGAACCACTGAAGACTAAGAGTGACCATTGTTCTTAACATTTTTATCAGAAGAGGGTTTCTGTGGACATTGTAATAATTTAATAGTTGGGTTCATAAGACAATTGAAGCTAGACCACCATTGAAAACATCGAAACACTGGATTGCCGTTTTGTTGCGGTATGGGACTCCTCAGCAGTGCGTATCGACGATCCTGCCTCGCGCGATTCGAGCCCAGAACCTCTGGTCTCACACACAAACGTCTCACCTTTAGACCACTGAGCCGGCATCCAACAGTTTAATGTCTAACTTCAACTAGTCCACCAAATTGCATCACCGTCCACGATTGTCTTCAGTGAGTTACTATCTCACTACAGAACCGGTTGAACTCCACCGGTCACTTGATGACAATGATGAATGGTGGCCCAATTTCGTCGATTGGTTGGGGTTAGAGATTAATACCGTTAGAAGCCGGCACACTGGTCTAGAGGTTAAACATTTGCGCGCAAGACCAGAGGTCTTGGGTTCAAGTCAGGCGAGCTAGACCGTATGTATGCGCTGCTGATGAGTCCCACACTAGGGCGAAACTTCCGCCTAGTGCTTCCAGGTTCTCCATGGTGATCTAGCTTCAACTGACTCATGAACTCAACATTTTTATTGGTAAACAACTGAATCTATATTTAAACTATATAGAGTTCGGCAAAAGTTATACATTTTAATCATTAGTCTATCGTATAAAATAAACAAACAATCCATTTATGTAATAAAAAATTTCTTACTGTATTTAATTGTAACTATATATTTCAGATGTAAACAATTACGAACACCACCAAATATGCTAATAGTTAATTTAGCTATCTCTGATTTTTCTTTTGCACTTATCAATGGTTTCCCACTAAAAACAATCGCTTCATTTAATCAACGTTGGGGATGGGGTAAATTAGGTGAGTAGAATCTTTACTGCCATTTATCTGATTTCTTTTTCTGTGTGTGTTTTTCACTATTTCAAATGTCGAAAATCACATTTATGGTTTTTACGTTTGTTTAATATATAAAATTATGTAGAACTTCATTTCAATATAATTGATGTTTTAGTAAGTAAAATGTACACAAAAATAGGGAAAACATCTACTAACTGTTTTCGTGCACACTAATCATAAATATTTGCTTTTAATGTTTAATGTAAACCAAATAAAATTATGTTTTATTTGTGATCGAATGTCCGATTCAATAGGTGATGATTATTATAAAATAGGATAGAAACTCATAGTGACATATGTAACACTACAGGTTATCGATTATCATAGATTTTATCGTACAATATTTGGTAGGTCCAAATAAGTCTCAATGACTTATCACAATAATTTCGTGTAGATAAATGATCGCATTCAAGTTGTATTTTATATTTTTATTCCAAAAAAGTATACACTGTTGTATAGAATAAACAAATATTTGTCGAATATACTGAAATTAAGTTCTATGAAACTGCTTAAGTTTATTTAGATGGATAATTGATCATGAACTAAAGTATTAAATGTACTTAATTCCTGAAGCCAGGCTTTTAAAGATAAGCATATTTTGTTTGTTCTGTTCCTTACAAATGACTTCAGTAAACTGCAATTCACATGGTGTTGTTTGAAATTTTACTTGTGTTCATACACTGGTAATGGGTATAAAAAAATTTTTTTTCATTTCTAAAGCTTGTGAGTTATATGGATTTGCTGGTTCAATATTTGGATTTATCTCATTAACAACAATGGCTTTTATTGCTTTGGATAGATATTTAGTAATTTCACAACCATTTAAAACATTTTCACGTATCACTTATGGAAAAGTTATAGTTATGATTTTTATCACATGGATATGGTCAGCATTATGGTCAATTCCACCATTTTTCGGTTATGGTTAGTTTATTATGAGTCGCTTTTGTTTTAAATAAGATGTTTTTTTATTTAGAACTTATCAATATTCGTTAACTTATAGAAGAATATAATCTTCCCGAAATTTCTAAAGGAAATATTTTGCTTTCAATTAGATTAACGTAACAGCAAGCATTTTACAAACTAACTATTGAAATAATGTTCACTTTAAATCTAATAGCCATTAACCATCAAATATTCTGTATTTATTCATCAATGACTTTTATTAAATTTTACAGCGGCTTGTTAAGAAAAATATATTTCTTTCATTATAATTGTGTAGAACACTGAATACGTTTAGCATATATGTTGCTAACCTAAATTTAGTTCTTAAGATAATCATCACAGAACTTCTTTTTCAGCTTCTGATTATAGAATTTCTAATTATAATATAACTTATCTTAATGGATGCCTTTTCAAATAGTTGACAGAACATCACCTATTTCTTTCAAGATAGTATATTTCCATAGATTTGTTGCTCTTCACTTACAAAAATCAACTAATCAATGAATATTATGTAATGAAGTGTCATATGCAAGCAAAACTGTTATTCTACAGGTGGTTTAATAAAGGTTCTACTAAAAAGTATTAACAATATCATTTACCTTGAGTTATAATTTTTTATAAAACGAAAATTCAAGTAAATCTGACGTATACATTCAAAAGTTGATCGACGGTTTCTTAACATTATAGATAAATCTTCACTCGAACATTAATCTAAATGAAACCTATATATATATATATATATATATATATATATATATCGTTGAAGTGTTAGATCTGAATCTGGAAATATGTATGCTTAAATATAAACCATTTCTAAACCTATTTCTAAGTTTTATAAGTTGTCATGAAGAACAAACTCTTAATATCCTTCACTTTCATTATTTTCTATCTAATGTTTAGACTAAGTTATTCTTTGATTCCAATATTTATAATTCATTTTATTTTATTTTACAACCTATGCAAATCATTATAATGGACAATTTAATGATTCAGGAAGTTATATACCTGAAGGTTTTCATACATCTTGTACTTTTGATTACTTATCAACTGACATACGGAACTTAATATTTAATGCAGGATTATACATATTGGGATTTCTTTGTCCTGTATTTATTATAATCTTCAGTTACTATCAAATTGTTAAAACAGTTCGACTCAATGAATTAGAATTAATGAAAATGGCACAATCATTAAATGCACAAAATCCATCGGCTATGAAAACAGGCAAGTTGGATGATGTTTGTGTAATATTATTATTAAGTGAAATACTAAACAATACATTTTTAGAAACGTTATATTTTACAGATTGTTTAAAATATATGTGTTTCTACATATATTTCATACATCTAACTGTTAGATCAAAGCTCTTTCTGTCACGAATTCGTGATCCTAGGATTATTGCTGTAATCAATATTACAAAAGTTTCGAAGAATCTATATTTTTCTCCTGGAACAACATTATTCAAAATATCCGAAAGCTAAACTGAATTAACCATATCAATAAGCAACACTTTAATGTTTTACTGAATTCAATGACAACTCAAATTGGAAATATGGCTTTTTGGCAACAATAATATTTTCATTTTATACCTTAATGTATGATTAAGAAAAATTATTATATCATTAGTGAAAAGAATTAAATAGGCTACTAATCTTATGTGTATTATAGTTTTTATCATGTTCATCAATTTATTCGTTCAGTTGAAATTAATAAAAACGTAAATGCAATTAGATTTAACTATAATATCAAATTTATGTATAGTTATAGAAACTATATTTTATACTAGTAGTATCCATGTTCTATCATTTATTATTATTATTATCAGCTTTATTCAATATTATATTTTTGGTACAATATAGAATTCTCAGCGTAAAGTATTTCAACAAGTTTCCGTTTCTTTCTTCTTGATCGGTCCTGGCGATAAATATCGAGTGATCGCCAGCTAGATGTTAGTAATTCAGTAAATGAACATCTGAATAATGTGCATTCTTTTCGTTGTATATTGCCAGCAACCACATTGGCTCTTATTAAGTTTTTTGTAACTTTGACAACGAAAGGTTGTACACTTTTCAGAAACGCAGCAGAATAGGTTATGCGATTAATAAACATAATGATATATTCAAACAAACAAAAATAGATAACTTGTTGAAATATCTAGATGGCAGGAACAGGTAGCCCAGATGCTCAAGCAGGCCTCCCTTTATTTGAATGGTTAATCATCCATTTGAACTATAGTAATCTTAATTTAACAATATTATGCACAATTTATGGTCACTATTTTAAAATAAATAAATAAATAAACTGTTTGGTTACGTGAGTGAATTAACTTAAAAAAACATTTAGAACTAAATTGAGCGGTTTAGTTCAGTTAACATCATAAATCAAAATTAAGGTTGATTTATTTAACTTGGTACGAAATGATGCAACATACAGATATTGATGATTTATTTACAATCTTGATCGAATTAGGTTTATGGTAGTAATGACGAAACACACACACTAGAAAATTGAAACTTTTTAAAATAATAAATAATGTATTTAATATTAAGAACTGGTTTAAAGTTTACTGATTAGATAAGCACTGAATGTTCCTTTGATGTCTTCTTTAAACATTATCAATGTCAACAATAAGTGATCTGAGGATGGGATAAGATAATTCAAGACCATATAAATCTGAGAAAATTAACTTGAAAATAAAGTTTTCAAATTAAATGGCTTCTTAAAGTACTACTTAAATTTCAGCTCACGACTTTTCAGTTAATAGTTTATCTAATTATCAGCTACGCTTCTCCAATGCGATCGAACTTCAGTCACTTTTAGTATGATAAGTATTTATCATAAATAGACATTTTGTTTTTCTAAAAGAATAAATTCTTTTTTGAGATCATGAATGGCCAAATATCTCATGAACTCTTTGTTATTACTTTGCTTTGATATTTTTAGGTGATAAGAAGGCAGATATTGAAGCTGCGAAAACGTCTATTATTCTTGTTCTTCTCTATTTAATGTCATGGTCTCCTTATGCCATTGTGTGCTTAATGACACTGGTTGGAAGTAGAGATTCGTTAACTCCATTTCACTCTGAGCTCCCTGTGTTATTTGCAAAAACATCTGCTGTATACAATCCTATTGTATATGCAGTCAAACATCCTAAATTTCGTTCAGAAATCGAGAAACGTTTTCCATTTCTTATTTGTTGTTGCCCACCTAAACCAAAGGTATGTAAAACATGTTAAAAGTTTATTATTTGTCCTTGTAATAACATAAAAATTTATCATTCAGTATTTAAGACCTCCTATCCATGATATTCATTTGATACTTGTGTGTACTCTTGATATCTATGAATCTCACTTATACTTCTCAGACCGGATAGTTGTTCTCATCTACTGACCTTATTGGATAAATAAAACGACTAATAGTTATTCAATGCCACAATTGAGACGGAATTTGTTGAGCCAAAGTATATCCATCCAAATATCCTCAACTAACACAGTAACATTCTTGGAATTAAATGCATACACTTTGCTGAAATATATTTGAATATATTTCCATAATCTATACGCTTTCAGTATACTGAATATAAGTAAGTTGTTTTATGTACGGTTACCTGTTAAAGCTGACAAAAGGTAACTATACTAACAAAAATCTTAAAGTCCTTGACTTAATGTTATAATTAAAAGCTAATAAAATGCTCAGGAATGTTTAACATTGTATCCCTCATTTTGAAAATGAACAATAAATAAGCAAAGATAGATAGTGGCCGGCAGTGGAATCCAGGACGTGCGTTTCGTTCTATTTGGAACAAGTCAGCTGGATGTACCTGCAATTCAGAGTTGATGTTCACCCCTGGACTCGACCTTAGTACCGTTCGCTTCGAATGCCATCGCATTATCCACCTAGCCACCGAGTCCTGATAGTCACTTGCTTGTGCAATGGGGTGAAGTTTAAATTCACTTGGTATTATTTACTTGAATCTTCCCATTGATGGTTAGGACTGCAATTGATCAGTCTCTTATTAGCATATATGCATACAGTGCGTATTGCTTCGTTCCTTCTTTCTTTATAATGCTTTTGAATTAAGGCAATATCGAGGCAATACGCACAGGATGCACATATGCCAATAAGAGACTGATCAATTGCAATCTCAAACATCAATGAGAAGATTCAAGTAAACAATATCAAAGGAATTTCAACAATAAACAATCCTAAAAAATACATAGTAAACAATATTTTCATATAAAGTGACAATTAACTTTGTAGGAAATCTCTGATTGATATCGTTTTCCATTTTACAGAAAGTTTGTGGTCAGTTTGTAAAAAATTTACTAATTAATACATTTGGTTACAATATAGATTGACTTCTTATTTGCTTCTTTTATAATTAGTTGCGCTTCTGTAATGTTTGTTTACAGTTGAAATTCTTTTCCTGAATATGTGATTTTGTTTATGATTGATTTTTAATTTTATTAAGTTTACAGTAGAATAAAAATATTCTCTTTATCAAATAATACCGTATTGCCGTATACAATTATCACATTATCATAATCGCTTAGGTACATGAAAACAACTGATCATTCTTGTTGATCACGTAATGTATTTGTTGTTTTTTTTCCAAGACTAAAGTATATATCAACACTAAAACCACAGCAGTATGCTAACAAACTTTTGGTGACGAATTTATGTTGACAAATTATTTGATGACATTTAGTGATTATTTGTACATTGAAGTTTAAAGACTTAATGTAAAATATATTTCTTTTTATAACCAGGTCCTGCCTTGTATTGACAATAAATTTACTAGTTAATCAAATTTATAAATCTATCTTATCAGATAGACACAGGGTTTATTTATTACGTTTCAAAAGGTCACTTACTGATTTCTGATGTTTGTTGAAAGTATTTTGATAGTACTTTGATTGATGAATATAAAGTTAATTTCGAATGATCTCAAAAATTGTACTATACTTTCTTAATATTGAAGATAACATTTGGGTTCAGTGATTGAAATAAATTTTTGTCTTAATGAATAAAATGAAATATTAAATTAACTACTGCAAATATTTCCTAATAGACTGAAAGTTTTCCGTTTCGTTTACCAGTTTTACTTTCCGAATAAAGAAAACTTGTGAAGTTGAGGATCAGTTGCTTTAAGTTTGAATGTTTTTAAACAGTTATCACTTAAACGTGTTCTTATAGAAGGTACATTTTATTTTAACTTTCAGGGTGTGATAAGTATACAGTTCTGATTCAGTATCCAAAAGCATTGCCACTCAATTCTTTTATATTTAGTCATATTCAAACTAGAATCCACACAAACAGTTCTTTAAAGGGTTATATAACTTTTTTAGATTGATTAATTATACATAAATTATCTTAGTAATTATGTTTAGAATATATTAAGAGTTTGAGTTACGAATCAATAAACAAATTGAATATCTTTCAACAGCCCATCCTAGGACTTTCATTTGAAAATACTATATTAACCTCTAATAACCCAACTCAAGATTACCAATTCCGAATAACAACAAAATAATGTAACCAACATGACTTTCGATCAAACTTGTACTATGATGTTCTTTTTTATTCAGGATTCAACAAATATGAATAGAAACTAAAACAGAAATTTTATTTCAACACGTAGTGATTTATCGATTTTTTAATCTATTCTTGGAAATCAATCATTGAAGATTTAAAAACCAAAAATATATCTTTTTTCAAGTGATTCAAATAGACACTTGAAGCATAATTGATTTCCTAACAAACCTATAAGAAGAGATTTCATTTTAACAATTTTTTTTATAACCTAACATTATTTTGAGTAAATAGTTGTACTTTTTCCAAAGAAAACGATCTAATATATACAATCTGTTCTCAGAATTTAAGTTTCATTTTGAACAAAATCATTATATAGAAGTACTAGATGTATATTTTGTAGACTTTTGTGCTAACTAAGATAGAGTGTTAAACACGAATTAATGATATTCAATATATTAAATTACACCAGAATGAAGAAAGGAACTACATGGAGCATCTTCAAATAAATTTAAAAATGACACGTATTTTGTTTATTTTTTTTTGAAAATATAAAATGACTTGAAATATCTAGTCGATGATAGTTTTTGACTGGAATTCGAATAGGCTCAATACATATTTGAGTACCTTGTGAAACTTTCTTTGATATAACCTCATTTTATCTATCGTATATAATTGAAAGTCAATCTTCACTATGCTTAATACAATATCTTATATCTTCTTATAATGAATATCGGATGAAATTTAAATGAATTCATTTAATTCCACAAATCATAATATTTCTACTTTGTCAAACTTAAAAATGAATGTATGTTTCATGTTATATACTATAAAGATAGTTTTAACTGTTTGCTGGTCTGTAAATTTTAGTGAAAACGATTATAATAAATATCTATAAAATGATAGATAAGTAATTTTATTGATGAATATAGTTTTTTTCTGAATTTCATAGAATAATCAAAGCATCCTTTATATTTCTAAATCACTATAATAACTATTTTTTTAATTATCTTATTTGAATAAAGCAAAAAACATCACACTGAGAATTAACACGTTCATCACCTAATTAATCCCTTATAATGACCTAATTTTATATTTTACCCAAATATATCTTATATACATATATATCAATGAAACTGTGGGTGTAATCATATTTTTAGTTACTATACCTTACTTAAAACACTTAAGACTTTCTACACTTTTGTCTGATATAGAAAAAAAAACAAAAAACAATCAAAATAATTATCATACCTTTACATAAATCTAAACTTTTTTGTATCATTTACATTGTTTATCTGTTAATATAATAGTCTATTAGATTTAGATTGTAAAATAATTGAGAAAATACAATTAATCTAAAACATTTCAATTTATTATTATTTAATTATAAATAATAAGTAAATATATAAATGACTTACTATAATTATTTTACAATTATTTATTCAATTTAATATAATGTAATTGATAATATAATTAGTTACTAAGTGAAATGTATAAAACACTATTCAATTTTAAATTGATTAATTAATTAATTAATTATTGATAACATTAATAAAGTCATTTGTAGAAAATACTCAAATATTTGTAGAGACAAAATGAATAACTCCATAACATAAAACTTCCAATCAAATTGTTCATAAAATGGTAATGCTCACTTGTTTAATGAAATAAATAATTTCAAAAAAAAAAATTTTTTTTGTTTGTTGATAATTATCCATGTAAATGGGATCATTTTTATGGTAATTTATACGGTACTAGTGACATATTAAATAATGAATAAATAAATAAATAAGATGTTACTGTTATAAACTGTTGCATTTTGTTGTTTGGTTGTTTGTTTGTTGATATAATATTATCTTTTTAATATCCATCTAAATGTTAGCCAATTAGAAAATAGGCCAATACAGAAAATAATGTTTATCGTGAAAATTCTCTTTTTTTTATGTTTGTCCTGTTCCCTTTTCTTTTTATTTTATTATAACAGGAACAGTCATCAGTCTAAGTACATGTATTTATTCGATATGAGTATACAATATATATATATATATGTCTACATATGCATTTCTTTATATGTATGTATTTAAATGTAATCTAGTACAATCTATCCACATTAAATTTAATAAGTAACGGTAAGGTAAATAGAACAAGTGAATAATAAAAGAAGTTAATTTATTCAACAAAAAAACAACGAAATAGTGAAACTATTTTTTAACATTGTCAATTGAAAAATAAAAGAAGACAAGTAATGGTGGTATTGCTGAGAAAACATTTTCGTTCTGAAACATGGCGTTGATAACTTCTATTAAATATTACTTACTTACGCCTGTTACTCCTAATGGAGCATAGGCCGCCATCCAGCATTGTTCAACCCACTCTGTTCTGGGCATTCCCTTCCAGTTCTGTCCGATTTTTGCCCATTTTTCTCATGTGTTCATTGGTCTTCCTCTTTTCCTTTGGTCTTCAGGATTTCATGTGAGGGCTTGTCTTGTGACACATTTGGGTGCTTTCCTCAATGTGTGTCCTATCCACTTCCAGCGCTTCTTCCTGATTTCTTCCTCCACTGAGATCTGGTTTGTTCTTTCCCACAGAACGTTGTTGCTGATGGGACCTGACCAACGGATCCGAAGCATTTGACGTAGACAACTGTTAAAAAACACCTGGATTTTCTAGATGATGGCTTTCGTTG